GCCATTCGATTTGCAATTTCAATTGAATTGAACCGGAGGAGGTGGGCTTTGAGGTCGAGGGAGGAGAGGGTGGGCGACCGAACGGGACTGGGCTCGACGAATTTTGTGAGGGTGAGGAAAGAGAGGGGGTGCTGTCATTATTGCCATTCGATTTGCAATTTCAATTGAATTGAACCGGAGGAGGTGGGCTTTGAGGTCGAGGGAGGAGAGGGTGGGCGACCGAACGGGACTGGGCTCGACGAATTTTGTGAGGGTGAGGAAAGAGAGGGGGTGCTGTCATTATTACGGGATTGGGTTCCCCTTTTTTTTTTCCTTAAAAAGGCCACGTTTGGTAAATAAAGGGTTAAAAGAAGGAGAGATTAAATAAAGAGAATAGTTATGTTAATCTATTTGATAATTTGGAAAATTAAATTATTAATTTGTTATATAAGTTTTATTTTAGCTTCTCCGGATTATTTTTAGTGTTTAAGAATAATAAGGATTTTAACTGTTTTCTTTATAATTAAAAAGGTGATATCTTAATTTTTCTAAATAGGAGTATTAGTAGACTTTTTATTTTGATGGGTTAACTCAGTTTAATCCCTCTAGAATGGTTAGCTTAACTTTTCTATAATTTTTGTGTTTAGCAAATTATGAAGGGTTAACTCACTTTAACCCTTGTATAAATTTTTTATGTTTGGCGGGTTAAGAAGGGGTTAAGTCTCCTTAGCCCCCACTTAACCCTTCGTCAAACGGTACCCAAGGGGGTTTGTTTTTAAAGGATATTAGCCTCTTACATTGAAGGTAGCTTTATATTAGCCCCTTATAATCAAACTCCAACAATCTACGACCAGTCAGCCTAACTCCTCACTACTACTTTCAGAACGTTCTACCCGGCACCCTTTGGCGGGTATCCAGGTCCTGCTCGATCTCCCGGATCTCGCAGGGTTGAAGCCACCTTAATTGGAGCTATGTACGATCCTCTCCCATTTTTTCTTATTACCGAACATGCTACTTTGTTTAAGCAGGTGTATCTTCCTTTCTTACTACGAGTTTAGCTTTTGTAAATTTGGATCAATTTTGAATTTAACATGATAGGATTACTTTTCCCACTATCATTCATTACAAGTGTTTTAATTGTTGCTAGAATCGCTAATACTACTAATCTTCTGGCGCATGTTATATATTTGCGCATGGCACAAGAACGAGGATTTGCTGAAGTACCGGAACGTGGGGTGTCGAGCTTGGTCTTTCTAGATTTTTCTGTAAGTTGGTTCCTGTCATGAGTTTAACCTCTAGACACATTTATACAGCACAAGTAAATGTGGTCCATTCTTTATATTTATAGCTTTGCACACGCAAAAAAAATAAGTTTATAGCAATACAAATAGTAAAATTCATAGAAAATCTATTTGGAAAATAATT